TGAAATGTTTAACATGTTATTAGAAGTACGCTGCTTGTAAAGCTTTGAACTTAGTGTTCCTACTGTATCTGCCTCCTTCATCTTTCTTTCAAAGTCCTTTTCCCCCTTGATTTCCTTGTAAATTTCATATCCATGGTTTTTCCCTGAAATATATGATTAGAACGTAAGAAAGCTCTGTGTTTTATTTAGTAAGTTGCTTATGAACCACGTTCTTGATGCTACTATCGTCGTTTCTAGCTCGCTAATTAGCCATGAATTTTGAATAAACTTTTTAAGGTGGTTTACGCAGGTTTCGCCACATGACGAGTTAGCTATGTTCGAGTTCGCTACATGTTGTCTACGCACAGGCCGAGTTCACTACCTCAGCTAACTGAACTCGAATTGAGTGAGTAGCGAATTGGAAATTGTGGGTAGCGAATAGCGATGTAGGGAACTCGATAGGTAACGAAACCGGCTGTTACCTTTGAGGTACACAACTCCCTTTAGCTTTCTGAAATGTAGGGAGATAATTCCGAAGATTAAATGAGAGAAATTGTTCGATTGTTAGACACTCTAAAGTCTTCAATTTTCATCCGAATGCTTATATTTCGGGTAGCATCTGAGGCTCGCAGCATTTTCCTCCGAAAAACAATCTGCAGTAACAAAGCCTATTTGCCTCATTTCTATCAAAATTGAAAATAATAATAATAATGTTTATTATTTTCGACGAATTTATATTTGTAAAAAATTCACATTCTTACATTCCATTGCGTATCCTTGTTCATATCCTGTAAGAGTAGACAGTGAAAAAACAGTTAGAAACCCAAACGTTAACCCAGGCAAACTCTTTAAACATCCCGCTTAACTCAGCATCGTTCGCAAATTCAAGATGCTGGCAATTTAGCCTCGTGATCTGGGATGTAAACTCCGTAACTAGCGTCCTTTAATGCCTATATTTTTTCATGATTAGCGCCGTTTTTGTCATTTCCATGCCGCTTTATCACTATCTCGCATAGTAGATAGATGTACAGATATCGATAGCAATTCTATGCCTATTCTTGCTCGTTTTTCGCACTAGGCGCAGCGGTTCAGTAAAGTGGCGCCGTTTTCGCTCCTCCCTTTCGTTTTCTCTCTTTTAGGGGTTCCTTAGCATGCAGTTTTTGATATTGCAGTATGAATCTTGGTCTCTTCTGTGGCCGTAACAGTATAAGTGTTTTATACTCCTCTTTCCGTTGTGTTGTTTACTATTTCATTAGATCGCGTTTTGTGTAATTTTTGTAATTGATTGTTGTTTAATTTCAACCTTCGTCACTTACGCCGTTGAGGAATTAGAGTGAGTTATATTTATTTCTACACGACGTAGAATTGTTTATTCCGTGGCCACAAATTTCGCGTAATGCAGTTCAGGAAAGTTCGTTTCTTCGGCGATGGTTTCCCAGGCACCGCCGCAGTGACGTGTAAAAGGGTACCCATGCAACCTGCACTAGCCTGGTGTCACGAAGTTATGTATCTTTCGAGAGGATGAATCTCGTTTTCTCCAATCGTTACTTGTAATCTGGCTTCTTTATAAACAGTGCAAATGATATCGTATCACAACGTTATCTTATAAAGTAGAGCTACTTTGCACAACTAATCCTTTTGACGACGATTTGGATTAAAGCATTGTGGGACTAAATTCTAGCTGCAGCTATCACAGATCCCGACCTCCACGCAGCCAGCGTTGGAGGTTTAACGGATTTACACAACTTAATTCATCTTCCCAGGCTAAAACCAAGATATCTTAAAGTAGTTAGGAAACCTCTTTCAAATATAACCGTCGTGAGACCCGTAAATATTGTTCTTCTTCTCCTTCAATTCCTTCCTTTTTTTTCAATATCCAAAATGGAATGAAATTTTCAAATGCTGAGCCTTACCTAAATGCGGATAGGCCCTGCGACATTTTGCACTATCATTTGCTTTTTAGTTATACGAAACAGTGAATAAATGTTTGGGAAATTATACCATTTAGTTGCACTTTTGACTATCCTTTCAATATCTCAACACAGAATGCAAAATAGTCATGCAATGAGT